GCTCACAGGGCGAGAATCCACAAGAGCCAGGGGACGAACAGCCGATACCCCTTGGAGGCCACCTGGAGCAATCCAGCTCGCTCCCCTGGCGGGCGAACGTCCCCACTAATTAGGCGGGAAACCTAGATTCTGGCGGGAAGTGCATTTAATGCTGAAGATTTGGTGGTTGGGACTCCAGCGGTCCACAGGCTGCCACGTCAGTATGGCCACCTGCCCATTGGTGGGTATAAATAGAAGCATTTATTTCATTGTAAAAGGTGTGGGCAACTTTCTATTCTTAGCATTCTAGCTATAGTATTCTTACTCGCAGCACCTCTACTGCCTTGTAAGACGAACGGCCGACGGAGCCTTAGCAAACAGTATTGTATTAGGGAGTTATTAAGAGATAATAATACCTAATCACTTACTTGCTACCTTATTGTTCCCCTTGATCTTTATTACTTGCTAGTTGGGCTAGATACCCTTACACTCTCCACTCGAAATCCCTGGGCTTACGTGTTGGACCCAAGGGTTGAAGGAATAAACCTCAACATTAATAAATACATTATTACACCCCCTCAAGCTGTGCAGGGGGAACAATGCGCAAATTGTCACGTAGAAAAGTAAAACGCTGTGGAGATAAGCACTTTGTGAAGATGTCGGCCAATTGAAGCTGAGTAGGAATGAACTTGACTTGTAAATCACCATTAGCCACTCTTTCCCGAACAAAATGGTAATCAATATTTAATGTTTGCTACGAGCATGCTGAATAGAATTTGCAGATAGGTAAGAAGCAGACACATTATCACACAAAAGCTTGACATGATTAGCAATTGAGATGCCTAACTCGAACAAAATAGAACGAATGTGAAGAGTGTCTTGAATCGCATAAGCAGTAGCACGATATTCTGCCTCTGTAGAAGATCGGGAAACAGTAGGCTGTTTCTTGGACTTCCAGGACACCAAATTCGGACAAAAAAAGATAGCAAAACCAGACGTGGACCTGCTGCTGTCTGGACACCCTCCCCAATCAACATCTGAATAAGCCAGGATAGTAGGTGTCGCAGTACTCGGCTGAAGAAGTAAGCCAAAATCAGCCGTCCCTTGTAAATACCTGAAAATTCGCTTAACAACCAAAGAATGAGTAGTACGAGGAGCATGCATAAACTGGGAAACTAGGTGAACAACGTAAGTAATATCAGGTCGAGTCATGGTTAAATACTGTAGTGCTCCTACCATACTCCTGTATTCAGTCGGATCTGCTAATAGATCCCCATCAGTCAGAGAAAGCTCGGTACAAGTAGGAAGAGGAGTACACACCGGTTTAAGAGTATGGAGATGAAAGCGTAGCAACAAATCCGACACATACTTATGTTGGGAAAGAAAAAGACCACGAGGAGTATGAAGAGCTTGAACCCCAAGGAAAAAATGGAGTACGCACCGGTTTAAGAGTATGGAGATGAAAGCGTAGCAACAAATCCGACACATACTTATGTTGGGAAAGAAAAAGACCACGAGGAGTATGAAGAGCTTGAACCCCAAGGAAAAAATGTAAATCACCCGAATCTTTCATAGCAAAGGATTTATCAAGACGAAAAATAAATGAATTAATGAAAGATGGGTTATTACTTGAAAGAATAATATCATCAACATATAGAAGCAGATATATAGTATGCACACCATGGTTATAAATAAACAAGGAATTATCTGAACGACTACAAATAAATCCATGCATCAACAAGAAACGACTGAAACGGTAGAACCATGCGCGAGGTGCCTGTTTAAGCCCATAAATGGCCTTACGAAGACGACAAACATAATTAGAAAACTGAGGGTGAACAAAGCCAGGTGGCTGACGCATATAAACCTCCTCCGTTAGATGACCATGAAGAAAAGCATTTTTAACATCCAGCTGACGGATTTGCCAGCCAAACGAAACAACTAAGGTCAGAACAAGACGAACTGTAGTGGGCTTAACAACAGGACTAAAAGTTTCTGAAAAATCCACACCTGCCTGCTGATTAAAACCTTGAGCAACCAGACGCGCCTTAAACCGTTCAATGGAACCTTCGGAATTAAATTTAGTTTTATAAATCCATTTTGACCCAACCACATTCTGACCAGTTCTAGGCGAGACTAATTCCCAAGTGTTATTGCTAATAAGTGCATTAAATCCCTTGGCCATGGCGGCTCTCCATTTAAAATCTTTATTTGCCTGAGAAAAACAAGATGGATCACATGCCGCAATATCTGTTTTTAAATTAAAAATTTGTTTGGGCTTGAAGATTCCAGATTTGGAGCGAGTTTGCATGGGATGGTGGTTTAGGAGAGGTGGACATTCGGCTGAGGCAGATTATGCTGGGAATGCATCAGTATGAGGAGAAGATGGAGGGGATTCGGCACACCTGGGTGATCTGCTAGTCGGGCTGGTTACAGTGGAGGGGCTAGTCGGCGTGGTCGCAGGGCTAGTAATCGGCTGGTTGGGACTGACTGGTGTGCTTGGGTGAGTCATCTGTGAAGTAGGCGACAAAAGAGGAAGCTGCAGGGAGGAAGAAGTGGGTAAAAATGCTTCTGGAGTAGGAGATGGTGCACCAGCCGAAGCCAAGGAAGACGCACCAGGCCCGTCAAGCATTGAAACTGAGGAACTTGGGGAAGAGGAAATAAGCTCAAAATATGGAAAGTGATTTTCATGAAACCGCACATTCCGGTTAATGTAAATTTTGCCGGTTTTAGGATCTAAACAACGATAACCTTTATATTCAGGAGCATATCCTAAGAAGACACATTGTACCGATCTAGGAGACAACTTATTTGCAGAAGTGGCATTAAAATTAGGAAAACAGGCACACCCAAATGCGCGCATGAAGGAGAAGTCAGGTGGATGATGAAATAATTTTTCAAAAGGAGATCACCCATATAAAGTAGGAGAAGGGAGGCGTTTTTTTTTACTCCAGGGGGGTCTGGGGAGAGCCTGGAGTAATCAGGGCTGAAACTCACTCCATTGAGTTTCAAACCCCTGTGTGCCTAGCGGGATTCGAACTCGAGACCTCCCACTAGGCACGGTAACCTCGCAACCAGCTAGGCGGGAGTGCTTGGTTGAGAAGGGAGGCGATTAATAATATAAGCAGCGGTGTAAACAGCATCAACCCAGAATTTAGCTGGTAAATTAGCTTCAAAAAGCATCGTTCGGGCTAATTCCAAGAGATGACGATGTTTACGTTCAGAAACCCCATTCTGTTCAGGAATGTCAGGACATCATTTTCTAAACAAAATGCCATTTTGCTAAAAAAATATTCCACATACCTAAATTATCAAATTCACCCCCTCCATCACTTTGAAAAATTTTGATTTTATGGCCAAGTAAATTTTCCACCATTAATTTAAAATTCTTAAAATGGTGAATGACTTCATCTTTCCGGCGCATAGGGTACAACCAAGTAAAACGGGAATAGTCATCAATAAAAAGAACATAATACTTAAAACCATTGCATTGCATTGATCCAATCTGAATCTTCTAAAGCTTTATCTACACTCATTGGTTCCATTTGGGAAATGCAGCAGGTGAACATGGCTTCTCTTCTAGATGCAGATCTGGTTCTAACTCCACTAGTAACTTGACCAATTACTTGATTAAGAGGATGATCTCTTAACCAAGTTAGATCAGGTTCTGACAATTGTTGTCTAGGCAACTCTGGTTGTTCATCTTCTGATTCATCATTCTCATCTTCATCCTCATCTTTGTCTATCAGAACTGGATTGGTAGAAGGGGTTGAGAATACCGGATTGATAGTGACCTCTTCTGATGGTTCTGAAACCTTGTCTTCAAGAGTGGTCTTCTGCAAGGTTTCTGATAATTCTTCAGCAGAGGTGCTGTCATCGAACTTGACATGAATGGATTCTTCAACTTGTAGAGTCCTTCTGTTGAGTACTCTATAGGCTTTACTTGAGCTAGAATAGCCTATAAATACACCTTCATCAGCTTTCTCTTGAAATACCTTTAGATGTTCCTTTCCATTGTTAAGGATGTAGCATTTGCATCCAAAAATATGAAAGTAGCTGATGTTGGGTTTTCTTCATTTCCACAGTTCATAGGGGGTCTTCTGATGATTCTTGTGGATCAAGCTCCTGTTCTGAGTATAGCATGCAGTGTTGATTGCTTCAGCCCAGTATCTGATGGGCAACCCTGATTCAGCAATCATGGTCCTTGCAGCTTCCTTCAGTGTTCTGTTTCTCCTTTCTGCAACACCATTTTGTTGAGGTGTTCTGGCTGCAGAGAGTTGATGAAAGGTGCCATTCTGATCACAGAAGTTCTTGATCACCTTGTTGACAAACTCAGTTCCTCTGTCAGATCTGATTGTCCTGACCTTCATGTTCTTCTCAGTCTGAAGTTGCTTTAACAGAGATGGCAACTTCTGAAGAGTTTCATTTTTCTTTTTTAAAAACACAGTCCATGTGTATCTTGAATAGTCATCCACCATGACTAGTGTATATCTTTTTCCTCCAACACTGGGAGTTTCAACTGGTCCAAATAAGTCCATATGAATCAGATTTAGAGGACAAGTGGAAAGATCACCAGTTATGGGCTTGAATGAGGTCTTCACTTGCTTGCCTTTCTGACAAGCACTGCAGAGGGTCTCCTTCTTGTACACAATGTCTGGCAGACCATCTACAATGTGTTCCCGTGCCAGTTTGTTGATGGTTTTGAAATTCAGGTGGCTAAGCTTCTTGTGCCAGTCCCAGCTTAGCTTTGAATTGTCTTTGGCTATCAAACATGTACCATCTTTTGCAGTTTGCCAATCAACAACATAGATGTTCTTTCTTCTCATGCTTGACATAGCATAAGGTCTTGGTGAATTCAACTGTGTAGCCTTTGTCACAGAACTGGCTAGCACTCAGCAGGTTGAACTTTAGACCTTTGACATATGAGACATCATCGATGTATATCTGGTTCTTGATCAGCTTCCCTCTTCCTTTTGTTTGACCTTCTTTGTCATTTCCACCAAATGTAACTCTAGGTCCATTATATCTCTGGAACTCTGATAGGCAACTCTTGTCACCTGTCATGTGCCTGGAGCATCCACTATCAATAAACCACTCTTGCTCTGAGATAGCTCCAGCACATAGTTCCTGCAAAATTAAAAGGAAGTTTTAGGTACCCAAATAATGTTGGGTCCTGGGGGGTAATGGAGTCTTGGCATTCGGTACCACTTTGGTCTCATCAAGGGAAACCTTGGTGGCTGGTACCCATCATCCACCTGGTAGTTATGATAAACAGCAGCATGATTCACTTTGGGCAGATGCTTGTGAGGATCATGCTTCCTGTTTGCATATTTTTGCATAGCCTGTCTGGTTGGGAAGAAGTCCCATATACTATCAAGAGCAGAGGGGCGCTTAACTTTAGGCTTCTGAGGTTGACCAGTCAACCTCTTCTCCCTATAGTTAATTTTCTCTTGATATTTGCCTCTCTGATAGTGATCTCTGATACGATTATCATGAGGATGTCTGATAGATTTTGGCCTTTGAATTTTATTGTTCTGAAAACTTTTATTGTGGTTAGGTCTTCTGCCAGATTCATTAGTTTTCAAAATTTGTTTGGGTTTGGCCTTTAGTCTTTGGTTCTCTGGTGGGACTTTCTCATGAGTAACCTTAGTACCAGAGGTACTAGCACGGCAAATGGGGCTGATAGTCTGTGAAACTATGACCTTTTTGGCTTTAGCAACTTGAGTGCTAGGCTTTACAGAAGTTTCACCAGACTTGGTTCCAACATATCCAAGACCAGAGGTGAGATTACGAGTATCATCAATACTCTTTATTGAAGATTGCATCTTCAAAAGACTATCATATCTGATTCCAAGTCTCTCAAATTCTCTTATTCTTTTTAGAAGAGACTCATTTTCAACTTTCAGTTTGTCTCTTTCCTTAATTAAGAGATTAAGTTTGCACTCAGTCTCTTTTCTTAAGTCAGAGATTTCTAACTTTAGTTTACTGTTCTCCTCTATAATCAAAGAGTAAGTGTCTTGGATAGTTTTGAACTCTTCCCAGAATGATGACATTGGATCATCATTTAAGGCTGTGCCTACCGAAGAAGAAATAGAGTCAGCAGTCGAATATACCTCATCATCAGATTGAGCCATGAGGCAGAGATCCTCGGTTTCTGTATCTAGGCAACAAAATGCTTCATCAGAGTCAGACTCGGAACTGGACTCTGATTTAGAGAGAGGATCTCTCTCAGCTTGTTCAGTGATCAATGCCTTCCTTCTTCTTGCATGATCTTCATATTTCTTCTCTCCTTCTTGTCCTTGCTTCTTGGACACTCTCGGAAAGGGGCAGTTGGCTTTGAAGTGGCCTGGCTGTCTGCAGTTGTAGCAGAGGTACTCTCCATTGCTCTCTGAAGACTTGGTCTTCTGAGGTGGTCTTCTGCTTGAGGATGGACTCCTTCCATCTTTCTTCATGAATTTCCTAAATTTTCTGGCAAAGGCAGCCATATATTCATCAGATAATAAGGTAGAAGGATCAAAGTCTTTTACCTTGGAAGTGCTGGCAGTGAGGGCAGTAGTGGTTCTCTTATCTGGCACTTCTTCTTTCTCTTCAAACATCTCGAACTCATAAGCTTTGAGATCAGAGATCAGTTTCTCTGTGGGGTAGGTCTTGATGTTCTTGCTTTCTTGGACTGCAATCACTTTCATCTTCCATATTGAAGGCAGTCCTCTGAGAATCTTCATGTTGACCTCCTTTATTGTGAGCTCCTTGCCAAGCTCAGAAATCTCACTGATGAGGATCAGCAGTCTCTCATGCATCTTGGCAATGCATTCTTCTGGCAGAAGTTTGAAGTCATCAAACTTCTTCATGGCAATGGTCAGCTTATTGTCTCTTTCGTGTTCATCTCCAGCTCCAATATCATCCAGCTTGTCCCAGATCTCCTTTGCAGTCTTGCACTTCTTGATTCTGTTGAAGTACCTTTCATCAATGGCCTTGTAGAGAATGTCCTTGGCTATGTTGTCAAGGTTGTATTGTCTCTTTTCTTCCTTGGTCCATTCAGACCTGGCCTTCTCAATCATCTGAGGCTGAGAGTTATCAGTAGAGTGAGCAGGGCTGACCTTCATGAACTGGATGAAGGGGCCATTTTCCAGAACTTCCCACATTTCATCATGAATGGCACAAAGATGTGCCTTCATCCTGATCTTCCAATCATCATACTTCTGATCTGTGAACATAAGATGCTTTGAAAGAGAGTTATCCATAATAACAAATAGAGAGGCTAGAAACAAGTGGATCTTTGTTCAGAGAGTAACCTAAAAGATTACAAGAACAAGGAAGCTCTGATACCACTTGTTGGTCCTGTTTAAGTTGGTAACAGTCTAGAGGGGGGGGGGGGTGAATAGACTGTTATAAGTTTTTCAACTTTTCTCTAAGTCAGAGTTGACTTATCAGAGAGGGTCGAGTTCTGATGATCAGAACTAGGTCTTGCAGCGGATAAGAGTTCCGGGTAGCCTCAAGGAAATACTAAGGCAAGTGCCTTTCTGGTAACTCTGAGAACAAGATCTGCTGAACACAGAGTCCAAGTCTTTAAGAGTTATGCAGTAAGAATCTGATAAGTCCGATTTGTTCATATATTTTCACTCACTTTCTGTGGTGTTTCTTGTCAAAATCGGGGCAAATTGAGTCACTTTTCTGCGTTTTTGTTGCATTTGTGTTAATGTTCGAAATTAGTGTTTAAATTTACGTTATTTTTAGTAATTTGTGCTTAATTGAAGTGTTTGGATTGATTTTGTGTTTTTTTCCCACTTATTTGTATTTTTTTTAATTTTTGTTATGTGTCAAATTTCAGCTTTCTTTCAGTACATTAAACCATTGAAATAAAGTGAAAGAAAACCAAATAAAAGAGAAAAAAAACCAAAAACTTGCAGCAAAGCTGCGTGACAAAAGGAAAACCAAACAAAAGAAAACAAAAAAACAAACAAAAGAGAAAAGAAAGAAAATGAAGGAGTGTCGGCAAGCAAAATAAATGAAAGAAAGGACAGCTAACAAGAGCACATGGCTGAGAGCAATCAAAGAAGAAAACAAAAATAAATGGAAGAGAGCAGCGGCCAGTCAAAAACATTTTTTTTTCAGCCGCACACACAATCCACACCAGCAGCTTTTGGCCAGGGAAAAATAGGCAGACATGGGATAGGTGAGCAGCAGGCCGCAAGAGAGCTTAGCAGCAAGAACCGGAGGAAAGAAAATTGATGACAGTCTAGGAGAATAAGAACATATCAGCAACGACAATTCCGGTTTCATCTTTCTATTTGAATCCTAAATGTTTTATTTTTAGATTCAAACTTCAATAAGATTTAAGTTTTAATCCCTGTATTATTTCAAACTCCGAATTTATGTTTATTTGGATAATTGAGTTGTTAATGATGTTTATTTACTGTTTAATTTCATCTACAAATTACTCTAGCTCTTTTATTAATTGTCTTAGTTTTGTGGTGAATATGTTAGGCTAGAACTCAATGGGGTTTGGATTTGGATAAAATTAAGGTTAATGGGTGTTCTTGAGTATTGAATTGAATTTAGGAGTTTTCTCCAATTTTTAAGACTAGTTGTTTGAAATGAAATTTAATGAGTAATTTGTGAAATTGATCACTTCACTTTTGAATTTTTAGAAGATTAATTCTTGCTTGTCTATGAGTAAAGAATTAATTTAGCTAACATTTCACACACCCTAAACTAAGCCTAGAAATAGGACATGTTAGGGAATTAAAAATAAATTCTTGTCTATGAGAATTAATGTTACTATTCTTAGATTGGAGAAAATACCCAAATTTATTTATCAAAGACACCCAAGATCCTTAATTTCAAATCTAAACCCCACTTTTAATTAGTTAATTTACTGTCACTAGTCACATTGAATTTACTTTTAGTATTTTTATTCGAAACTTTACTCATCCATATGTTTGCTAGTTTAATATTTTCCTTAGTTAATTTTCTCTCTCAAGTTATTTTGCATGTTAACTAGTTTTAGTTTACTCATTAATGTAATTTAATTAAATTCTCAATTACTACTTTTGTTGTTTAATTTTATTTGCTTAATTATTATCACAATTAATCGTTTGAGAAAGCTTGCAACGACTCGTACTAACCGGTGACCGATATTGAACCCAACACTTCCCTCCGCCACTCCTCAGAGACACGATACTCGGGGATAAACTTTTCCATCCGGAAGGGTTAAACTTCATTTTACTACAACGCCGCGAAAGCGGTTATCAGAATCCTAAGTGCACAAAGTAAATGCGTAAAGTAAATGACACCAGGGATTTTTATAGTGGTTCAAGGAACAACGCGTTCCTCTAGTCCACTGTTCCACTAAGATTGTAAAGCGTCAGTTACACTTCCTTAGTCCCTAGCACTTAAGAAGTTCTCCACGTCTTCTTCAAGTCTAGTTGTCACCCGGGATGCAGTCCTGCTTCCTGATGACTGGTCCTTTCACTCAGCTTCCCGGAAGTATCACCACTTCGCTACTGCAGTTACTTGGACGCCCTTCTTTTCAGAAGATGTTCTGAAAAACAGAGTTTTTCTCCAACTTGCTTCGTCACAAATGATGTAGAACTGAAGTTCTTGAAGTGTTGAAGAACTGGATGAACTTTGCTCTTGGTTGGGTCTGAGAGATTTGAATATTTAATTTTCCCAACGTAAGCTTTTTCTTGTAGAAGGATTTGAAGATTGAATCTCAAGAGAGCTTGTAGAATGGTTGTAGGGAGCAAGAGTAGTCCGGTTGTTCTTCATGAGTATCCTTTTATACTGGGAGTTGTCTACCCGTTGGAGGAGGAGACAACTGCATGAATGCGCATACTGTGGAGTTGACCGGTTGGTCCCGCAGTTTTGGCAGGTTTCTATTTTTGTATAATATTCTCCAGGAATCTCGGTCAATCATCTGCAATTACTCCACAGCGTATCAGGCTCATTAAATGAGCATTAAATGCTTTCCTTAGATGAAATATCTTCTAACCGTTAGGGAATTTCCCGTTTGATATACGGCCGTTGAAAGCAACTTCGAATTCTTTCTAAGTGTTTATCCAGGTCTGATGAGATTCTCTGATGGTATTCTGACCTTGGATTCTGATGAGCTTAGATAAGGAACTCTGATACTTCTCTGAAGTTGAATTCTGATGAAGCTTTTCATCGAACTCTGATGGTTCTCTGATGAGCAGCTCTAATGCTTCTCTGATGTGCAGCTCTCATGGATCATCAGACTTGAAGTTCAGCTAGTATCTCTCATAAATTGCCAAGAGCAGCTCTGAAGGCAATTCTCAGCTCTGATGCTTCTCTGAGGAGCAACTCTCATGGAGTAGTTCTCTTAGTAGTTCTGATAAGATCCACATACAGCAACTCTGATTGTCGACTATACTAATACTTACAACTGAAAATTTCTAATACATAAAATCTAAGCGGGGGTACTCTAAAATTCTAATCTAATTATCCTAGAATCATCAAAATCTAATTACATTTATTCCTTACAGCTTTGTCAACAGTCCTAAATCTTTTCTCACACTGCCACAAGTTGGTATCCTTCACCCAAACTGCATCTTCCTTAAAGTCACCTTCCCACTGGACTAGGTACTCAGCTCTTCGGTTCTTCTTGCTATGACCCTTAATAGAATGATCCCAAATCTTTGCAACAGCCTTCTCAAATTGACTTCTAATCGTCGTAGGGGCTCTCTTATGCATGACAATAAAGGGACCATCATACTTCAGAATCAAGCCACAATGAACAAATTTGGTGTTAATCTTCTTCCAAATCTGGTTAGTCAATTTTAGCATAACCAAGTCTCCAACTTGAAACTGAACATCTCTTCTCCTTGGATCAACTTGCTTCTTCATCCTTGCTTGGGCCAAAGCAAGATTATCTCTGGTTTCCTCAATATGCTCTTGTTTGTCCCTTAGCCTGCAAAACGTGTTGCCGCTGGACGTTGTCCTCCTACCCTTGCCATCACTTTGTGAGGCACCAAAGGTTGAAATCCGACAAACAACTCAAATGGAGTCATACCAGTCACATGGGTCTGATGAAGATTGTAGCAAAACTGGGCCACATCAATTAAATCAAGCCAATTCTTCCGACTTATCGTCACATAATGCCTTAGGTATTCCTCAAGCAAGGCGTTCATCCTCTCCGTTTACCCGTCTTTTTGCGGATGATTAGCAGTTGAGAACTTAAAATCACTGCCAAGGGTTTTGAACAAGGCAGTTCAAAACCTTCCAGTGAACCTTGAGAACTTCTGGCAAACCAAAATGTTTTACCACATTTTTGAAGAACAACTCTGCCGTCATTTCAACCAAACATGACTCTAGAGCAGCCACGTACACACATGGAAAATAGATCCACGGACACCAATATGGT